TTTTTCTTTTCATTGTTTCTTTATTTTAATTAAATTTACAGTGATAGATAAGGTTGTTTGCTCTGAATCTGACCTTGTATGAATGGTTGGTCAGTGGGAAAAAAGTATATTAAGTACTTATGATCATTTATAACATATTGATGTAGTTTTTGATACTTTAGCATAATTATTACTGAAGAGATGTTAAGATTCATTTTCCTTTTCACAGTTATTTAATGATGCGTTTGCTATTGTACGCTACATAACTTGTATATATTTATGGATATTGCTACATTCATTGAAAGCAACTGAAGCATTTTAGAGGTAGAATCCGCGATATGGTAGAAAAATTTCTTTTTTTTCATTCCTTTTTGTTTTTTTGTTTCTTTCTATGTTTGTTCTTAATTTAGATTCATCATTTAAATATACAGTTATCCATATGTTTGGTAAGTCATTCTTGCATTATATGACTCCCTCGAAGAAGGGTGTTTCTTTTTTTTTTTTACTTTGCTTTTCTTTTCTTTCTTCTTTCTTTTTTTCTTTGTTTCATTATCTGTGTGATGTATTTTCTATATGAATTCTACATAATCTCTTTGCATTAGAGGTAGAATTCGGGCTTTGGTAGAAAAACCTCTTTTTTCTTTCTTCGTTTCTTACTTTTAGTTAAATTTGCAATGATAGATGAGATTGTTTGCTCTGAATCCGGTCTTACATGAATGGTTAGTCAATGGCAAAGAGATATATTAAATTTGCAGTGACTCACTGGATCATTTAGTTGTCATACTAATGATGATAGTATCGGTGTAGCAACCAGTGCCATATATAACATTGGAGGCTTGATCTGGGATTTACCTGAAGGGCAAAAAACAGAGAACTACTTGCTTTTTAGATTGGCTATGATAATTCAGCATTTGCAAATGTTGTGCTAACATTTAATGGTTGCGAAATAAGTGAGCAAATTATCTAATACAATCTCAAATATTAATCATAAATATGGTCTCACACGTGCATTGTTGTTCCTCTACATCTTTGAATGTCCTTGAAATTGGCTGATCAAATAAGAAATTTGTGTATTTTCCTTGTAAAAGAAGGGGAGAAAGGGAAATAAGTATTTATTTCTTTCTATTTACTTCTAATTAACTATCTATTATGAATCTTTTCAATTTATAATAAGTCTGTAAGTAGTTTTTGTATTTAATTACTTTACAGTGTGTATGTGTTGGATAAGCTTAGTTTACTGTATTTTATATCTCATCCTTTGTGGTTAACAGAACTCATAAAATATTGAATTTTGAGATTCTAAAGAAATTGGATGATTTTTCGTACCGATATTTATACGATCGCAACATAAATAGAACTATAGTTTCTTCAATCTAGTCAGATGTTTTTCTAAGTCATGTACTTTAGAAAAATAGATCACAAAATTAAATTATTATTGCTTGAGATATATTAGATATCATTAATTTGCTAAAGTAGATTATATATTAGAAAAATAGGGTAAGATATTTTTGTTCCTCTATTATGACTAGTTGTCCTTTTTAATTACCTTATTTTTAATTCTATTGTTAGTTTTAGTTAGGTATGGTACAACAGAAGTTCATTTGGTGACAGACATTTTTCAAGAAAGACGGATTCTCAAGCGTCTGTATTATTTTCAACACAATCATCCTTATCTACTTCTTTTGATTTCTATTCACAATTTCTGAAGTTTGTATTCTGTTTTTTGCATGTTGAATCATCTACTTTTTCTGTGCACATTTCGTCGACCTTGTGTACCATTGATCTTCCTTATACACCATTCTTGGCTTTAGATGCTAACATCACTGGGATTCTGGTTGGAATTCTTGGTGTAGGATTCTGCATATATAATTGTATAGTGCATATAAGCTTTTTCCTTCATCGTATGTCTTTCTAGTATTCTTTGGTAATATACCATGCATCAACATTTTTTTAAAATAAAAAAGAAATATTATTATGAACAATAATATCAAAGAAGTACCGTTCGTATACAAAGTAGTTACACATCAGTTAAGTGATTGATCTCATTTTAATCTTTTATGTTAGGATCTAATGATATAGAATCAAAAGTATAAATCCATCTATCTCTAATTTTTACAAAATCAGTTTTTTTATTCTCAAAATCTCTCATATTTCTTTTTTTCCATACAACTCAAAAAATTGTAAGTGGAACTAAGAAAAAATATTTTTTCTTTTTGCATATACCTGACCAAGCTCATAATTTCTTGCCAACAGAATCCGCACTAACCCAATTTAACCCCATAATCCCATAGACAATTGTCCAAATATTGTAAACAACCAGACTGAGCAAGAGATGATTGCATGATTCCTCAGCATTTTTGCAAAGATAGCATCTGTTTACCAAAATGTTGCCTTTCCTTTTCAACATATCAATAGTAAGGATACTTTCTCTAGCAGCTTCCTAAGTAAAGAAAAATATTCTGGGAGGAGCTTTTAACTTCCAAATATGCTTGTAAGGTGCAGACAGCAGACCATCATCCTCTTTTTTGCACAAGAAATTGTAATATGACTTCACTGAGAAGCCCTTCTGCTTGTCGAGTTTCCAAAACCTGCTGTTTCCATTCTCCATCAGCTTAAATTCGGTCAAACAATTGAGCAGATTGCAGTATTCTTCTGCTTCCTAGTCTTTCAAGTGTCTTTTAACCCTGACATTCCCGTTCCATTGCTCATGAGAGAGACACTATGGTGGAGAATGTGTATGAGGATGGTGACGGTTTGGTGGGTGGTCCTTTTCTTTGACGTCAATCGTTTGGCTTACTTGAGAGGCGAGATTTGTCTTTTGAGGTGAATGGGTCGTCCTCTTACTTGACCATGGCATCGCCAACATGAGTCTGTGTTCGGTGGTTGATAAGCTGCTAGTTGGTATTTAGTTTAGGGCTTGTTATTTCCTTTCACTTTTCCTAACGAGGAGAAGGCGGGGTTCTTGGACCAGATGAGGGGGGTTACGAGACTGCTAGGGCGGGCCAGCTGAGAACATGGAGTTTGAGAGAGCCTCCTCCCTTGGGTAGAAAGTGCATATTTGCCGGCCGAGTGAGCCTTTCGCCTGGCTAAGGCACAAAAAGCACGGGAATAGTGAAATCTTTCTTCCTTTTCTGATTAAAAGTAGCAAGCAGTGCTTCTTTCTCACTGGGATGGAGAACCCTGACCCATTCCCAACTCGACAACCAGAGACAGGCGACGTAGCCTTCAATTTCACTTTATGGGAGAAAAACCCCCTCTAGCGAGATTTGCTTTTCCTCCGTGTCCCCCTTCTTTTTTGAGTTTAGTAGGCGCCAGTCTTCCTCGATTCCCTTATGTATATAGGGCGAGACAAAAAACGTCCGGCAGATGGAAAGAGAATATGTACAAACATCTATTTAAAAAATGATTGGCACAAGAACTTTAATTTAGAAGAGTACTATCATATCAACCAGCAAAATCATAAAATAATGCCTGGGAATTATGTGCGCACCCATGCAACCCATTTAGAAAGGAAAGACATGATAGTTGTATCTAATTTCATCTTCTGCTCCAAGCCAGGATACTGAACCTATTTTCCATCAAAGAAAGAACTCGTCAAACATATAAATACAATTTACAAGAATATCTTGTGTGATATATTTATATTTCCTCCTTTGTACCTTTCCAAGTAAAAGATGAGGAACAACTAACATAACAGAAGAAGAAAATGAACAGTTCAGAACAAAAATGGCGGTGTACATCACAATCATATTGTGGATTGACCAAAGAGTTGGCCGGTACATCACAATCAAGGAATTGCTGAATGCATATCAGTTTTCCGGCTAACCTTGGTAGCTACTTCTTGATGATCTTCTACGATTGCATGATGTACTTGATCAATAGAAACAGCCGCTATTGGTTCTTCATCAAGAATAAAAAATCTGAAGATTTAAAAATACAGCTCAAAGTCAACAAAAAACAAGTAAAAGAACTGGCTGGAGATGGCATTTTATTTTATTTGCAGACTGACAATTCATTTTTATGGGTTATAGACATGTTGTGTTGACTTAAAAAAGACATAAACAATTATACTTTCACCTGAATAAAATATATAGTCAGTTAACAATACACGTGGTATCGACTAACAATTATTCAATAATCATTAATTATTTATAAAATTTTTAAATGTATAAAGACTTAAATAAACTAAAAAAAAAAAAAAAATTAAATGGTTTAAATAGAGAAGTTACAATAGTATAAGAATATTTTTACTTTGTTTAAACCTATATATATATATATATATTTGAGTTTTGTTAAAAGTGGTCACCACATCTATATCCTATAACTTGATTTGTGTGGTAGGGTTCACAAAATCAATTACATTTCTTTAAAACTATTGTATATGGGGTTGAGAACTACAAAATATTTGTATGAAATTTAAATGATAAAGCATATAAGAACAACAAAAACATGTTGACTTTATACGTATTTGACTCGGTATATATGAGAAAAAAACATTCATAATTTTTATTATAAATGAGTGACATTTTTTTAATTTTATTATTGCTGTTAAATAATTATAAAATTAAATAATAATAACCAAAATGGGTAAATAGTTTATAAAATAAACAATTTTCTGATCAATTTTAAAAATTAGATAATTTTTGTTATCATACCAAATTTCGGGGTTTATATAATTTTTCTTTAAATCTCTCTCTCACTGTTTTAATTTTTCAGTTTCCTATACGTTAAAACAAATTGAATTTTAATAGAGAAATAAATAATATTATTTCATTTTTATCTTCATCTTTTCCTTTAAAAAATCTAAAATCTTATCAGGTAAAATTCTTTGCAAATTATGACTTTTTAAAAAAAAAATAATAACATTTAATTTTATTCCTTAAAAATAGAATAATTTAATTTTAAGTTGTTTATGCAGTAATTATTTAACTAATTAGAGTTTAACGACAAGATTAAAAAAACAAAACAAAATTTAATTGCTGTCTCGATGCCGCTTAATTCTCGGCAATGTCGCTCTCCCCATGCCTGATATCATAAACACCTGCAGGCGCAAGCCACGCTTTCTCCTTTTCCTCCACTCTCTTTCTCTGCCTCCCTGCTCACCATTTTCAATTTTCCCCATCACAATCCAAAATTCTCCTCTTCATTATTATTATTATTTTTTATTTCGTGTTACAGTTGATTTATTTAATCACGTGTAACTACCATCGGATTCTTCTGTACACCCATTGTTGATGGCTCATGAGCACAAAAACAGAGAATTGCGAGACACGAAACGTGTAGGTACACTCTTTGTGACTGGAAATTTCGTTCTTCGTTTGGTTTTATTTTTATTTTGATGGAGATCAACCTATTTCAGTTTTGAGTTTTTTGATAATACCATGTGGAAATTCAATATTGATGGTTCCCCTTTTTTTTTTTTTTTTTTTTTAAATCTATTTTAGGTTTTGTGCACAAAATGTTGATAGAAGATCATATATTTTTAGGTTGATTTATATGCCTTTTCTTCTCGGATCTGCCATGTTATGATTGCTGGTATGGTGATGGATGGAGGAGAGGCTCTGGTTTGTTTGTTTCTTTACGCTTCATAAGGTCCGAGAGTTTTACGAACAGTATATATATTTGATCAAATCTGCTGAAATATATCCGTTTTGTTGATGATTGAACCCGTTGAGCTCAATAACTTGATCACTGGGACTTGGGAAAATCTATAGTAGAATTTATGGGGACGGTGACTGCTACGAGATCGCATTGCAAAAGAACACCTCAAGGCGCTGAGCTCCATTTGTTAAGCACCTAAACAAGGCCAAGAACTAGGGCTACATCATGGCTAGTGAGGCACCTGGCCTGTCTGGTCAGCACATGCAACAAGACTCAACATCTACTTATTCAAAGACAGGAAGAAATTCAAACAATAATGTTTCTGTGCAGACAGGTGAGGAATTTTCCATGGAATTTCTTCAGGATCGTGTTGCTGCCAGAGGAATTCATGTTGCCCCTGAGAGTTGCCAAAATAGGCCTGCACATAATTATAATCAGAATCACCACATGGGGTATGAGGATCTTGCTCGAATTCTTGGGTTGAAGAGGATGAATTCTGATTGTCCATCTGACATTTCTGACTTTGCTTCTGCAAAAGGGTCTATCAAAGAGAACGAAATGGGGGCTTATGCTAGTAAACTAAATGCATACCACAATGAAGACGGTGATGCTGGACTTGTGTCAAGGAAAGCTTTTGGCGAATTGAATTGTGATCGAGGGGCTGGTTGGGAACCAGCATCCCCCCTCATTTCTGCCTCAGAGTATGCTCATCCCAACCACTGTAATGAAATTGGAGTTCTAGATGGACTTCAATGTGCAAAGATGAAATTTCTCTGCAGCTTTGGTGGAAAGATATTGCCCAGGCCTGGTGATGGTAAACTCAGATATGTAGCGGGGGAAACACGCATCATTTCAATCAGAAAGAATATTTCCTGGGAAGAACTTGTGAAAAAAACTTCTGGTATTTGCAAGCAACCTCACTCAATCAAGTACCAGCTTCCAGGAGAGGAGCTTGATGCTCTTATATCTGTCTCTTCTGATGAGGATCTCCAGAATATGATAGAGGAATACCATGGACTTGAGAATGTCGGGGGTTCTCAAAGATTGCGTTTATTTTTGGTTCCTTCTAGTGACTCTGAAAATATTTCTTCCTTTGAGGCAATCACTATGCAGCAGACTAATCCTGATTACCAATATGTTGTTGCCGTGAATGGCATAGTAGATTCTAGTCCTAGGGAAAATTCTGGGTTTCTGCACTTGGCAAGTGAAGCAAGTCAGCTGTTGACTAATTTTGATTGTAATCCAAGTCCACATAAAAGCTCTCCAACTCATGCGGTCCCTCTGGAGACTAAGGTGGGTTTCAATGCCCATCCTACTCAATTCAATGGATTCCAGCACATGACCAGTTCTAGTACTCAATCACCACCTGTTTCGCCAATTACCTGTCAGCACAGAGATTCCACAGGTCTTCATAAACAGGTGCATGGCAATAACTCCAGTGCTGAGAGCAGCAGGTCCTTCACTACTGCTCAATTACCATCTGGCAACTGCAGTATTGACACCACTGGTTACAAACAACTCCCACAAGGGATTATAACCTTGATGAATAATGAGCATCTTAACAAAAAAGTTGAGCCCAGTGAACAAGGCCAAGCTCATGGTTCAGGATTTTTCGATTATGATTTTGGTAACGCATTTAGGACAACTTCAACAGTTGATCATAGTCATAACAGCTTTGATGGGTTCTCCTGCAAAAGGCTTATGCATAATGATGGGGCACTCCAATCTGGAAAACCTTTCTCATGCCCAGAAGACCCAATGGATCTGTTATCTGGATCTACCAATTTAATCGATTGTCATCATGGGATACCATATTCATATTCTGATTCTAAGCTGGAGCAGCAAGGAAGGCAGTCTGCTTACTGTTCACAAGGAGCAAGTCCATCTTCACCTTCTAACCTTGTGAAGACGCAGGTACATCCATTGATTGTCTCGAGTGCATTGCAAGGAAAGCCAATTCATCTCCATGATAATATTAATCTTGTCAACCCTGGATGTCAAAAGAATATGCAGGATATTGAGTCTACTACATCAGAAAGAAGACAACCTAGCTTATATGACTCTCAATATTCAGGATTATCGTGCAAGAATGAGCCCTTCCATAAGGATACACATGACATCAACAATGGATATCAAGGAGCTCAAAATCATGTAAGCAAATCTAATTTGGTGATACCAAACCATTGTGATAAAAATGCTCTGGAATTGGACACAAGGAATAATGGTGATGAAATCAATTTGCACCAAGGCGGAAATGTTTCTGGGAGATCACCAGATACCAATGTGGAATACAAGAATGAGATGTCTGCTGTAAGCAACCAGGCATCAACTCCCAGTGTTGATACCTTGAGACAAAATATTCATGTCTTGGGGGATAAGGTGCCTGTTTCATTGTTAACCGATTTCAAACCTTTTGGTAATGTACTGGAAAACTTCCCAAAATTTGAAGCAGCGAAAACTGCAACTAAACTGCCTTGCTCTTTGAGTAGGGCACAAGGAAGTGATCCTTCATTGACCTGGAATTTTGAAGTTGGAGGTTTATTATCAAGTACCAAAAAAGGCTCCTATGAGAAAAATCCTCTGGTTGATTTTATGGATGGGTCACCAAGTAGCCAAGTTTCTCAAGGATTTGAAAAACCTATTGCTAGTCAAAACGATATGGATCTTGAAAGACCTGCACCAATGAGGTCCACCGATTCATCTCTTCCTGCCGTTCAAAATTATGGTTGTCCCAGCTCAGACCCACAGAAGAGAATCTTTCTTCTTGAAATGCAGAATCCATCCAAAGAATCTTCAATCATTGACAATGACCTTATACATAATCCTGTTCAAATGGTCGAGGCTTTGGGCTTTGCAGGACCTGCTGATTATAAGAAGTCGGATGCTGGAGATGCTATGTTAGGTGCAGAAAAGACCCTACACATGCATGCAAATAAAATCCTTCTGGAGTCAGTAGCTAGTGCTGAAAATCTAAATAGCTTTGTTTCTGAGATTGAATCTTCATCAGCAGTTGTTCCACGTGTGGATATGACCAGCAGTGATGTTAATTCTCAATCTCCAGTTGCTCGCCTTGTGGATACGAGCAGCACTGATTTCATGTTCCCTGTTGCACCAGAGTCAGGGAATATGGTTCCAGAATCTGAGTCTGAGGTGAGATATGGTTAAGTTGATTCTCAACATTAGTTTATATAGATTATGTTTCCGCTTCTAGTTCTTGTCTCACTTTTGTATAGGATGACAACACTGATGATCGAAATAAGGAGGCCCCTTTTAGTGATGCGATGATTGCTGAGATGGAGGCCAGCATTTATGGCTTGCAGGTTTTATTATTACCTCTTCTAGCAATACCATTTACTGTCATGCCTCAGAAAGTTTAATGTGCTGATTTGAAATGTTGTGTCACCTTTAACTTGTTGCCTTGTGCTACAACATATATCTTAAGGGAATTGTTAGTCATGTTGACGAGCATGGTATTATTAGCCATTAGAGTTGAACCTTTAACTGCTCCAAATCTCAATAGTTGAATTATCTGAAAAAGTGAGTGATTACACTATGGACTTTATTGCGTTGGCTTTAATTGCTTCAGTAAGCACAGTTAAGCTGCACTTGGATTTTCCGTATGTCTAATGGCTAGCCAGCTTTTGCTGCATGTAAATTTGGAGTTCAGGCCTTACAAGGATAGCTCACATCACGTTATGAAGCCTTGTCTGAGCGGTCGAATAAATGTGGATATAAAATAGGGAATACTTGACCCGACTTTAACCAACAAATAAGGAGCTGCAGTTTGTTGCATAGTGTTAGAAAGACATCAATTATCTTCTAGTGCATTCTTATTTATTAACTGAAAGCAAAAAAAAAAAAAAAGAAAGAAATAAAGAGATGAATGAACTGGTTTTTTTTCTTTCTTGTAGTATGTGAAATTATTGCCCGTTCTATATTTTTTGCCATCCACTGTCATTCTAGTACTGCCGAATCTAACGAATTTGAAGTTTGAGTCCTCTTAAGTGGTATTCGAGGCTTTTGTGAGTCCACATTTCTATTCGCCTCTTTGTAAGAAACTATTTTCAATATGTCTTTTTAAATATATTTCTCAAACTAAGCTTTTTCTTTCTTCACCAAATGATGACAGGACTGCTCTTATTTCTCTTAGCACTTTTGGTGAATGTTCATCAGTTATCAAAAAAGTATAATAGAAGATGAAATAACTTATACTCGATATTAGCGCTTGGTTTCTCATTTCTTCTTAGAATTAGTTCATTTGAAACAGAATTTTTAGATGCTGATATGCAGATCATAAAGAATGCCGATCTTGAGGAACTACAAGAGTTAGGATCTGGTACATATGGTACTGTTTATCATGGAAAATGGCGGGGAACAGATGTTGCTATAAAGAGACTTAAAAAAAGCTGCTTTGCTGGTAGATCATCAGAGCAAGACCGCTTGGTAGGTTTCCAACTCATTCCTTTCCTTTTTCATGGATTATGTATGTGAGGAAGCTACATCATTTTTCAATGCAACTGCTTTCTTGAGAGGTTTATCTACACATAATTCTAGCACAATTTTATTATTTATTTAGTCTAACAAGGGATCAAGTTAGCATAATTTTAGTTCCAGTAGAAACTGTGTTGCCCCTGTGGAAAAACAAGAAAAAAAGAACAAGAAAAAATCTAGGAAGCTATATAAGTGCATTGATTTGTGATAGTTCTTTAGCTTCTATTTGTCAAGTGAATTCCATTAGTACAATAAAATAAGAAATAGAAAAATAATTCGTTAAATAAGATAAAGAGAACATCTGGAAGAGTTGATCTTATCTCTAGGATAAACATGGCACTTTGCTGGATTTTTTTCTTTAATTTTGTAAAAATTCTCGTCATCATGGATAATTTGTTGTCATATAGTTTTGTCAGCATCTTAGTGCCTAGTGATGGTTAAAACATGGCTGCTTGATTTTTATTGTTACCACATGTTTTTCGATACAGTGACTTTAATTAAGACAGCAGGAAGATTCACCTGCGTTCTTTGCTTTCTGGATGGTGCCAAAAAGGACAGATGGTTGTAAAACTTACCTAAGAAAGAGGAATAGGAAACATGAATTTGATTTTTTTGAAACAAGTTGAAATTCAGACATGCCCTTTAATCCTACAGTTCTCTTTACCTATAGAACTCTCATGGGAATAATTGGTATTTCAAATGAAAACTGAGGAGAGACCGAAATACTTGCTCCAATCATGATTATCCTTTGAGACAGTTATGATAGTCTCCTTTATCATGATTAGACTTATTTTTCCGCAGTATAATTGACATATGAAGCTTATGATCATTTAAATGGTTGCAACAGACAAAAGACTTTTGGAGAGAGGCGCAGATCCTTTCAAATCTTCATCATCCAAATGTGGTTGCATTCTATGGGGTAGTTCCAGATGGAGCTGGGGGAACATTGGCAACTGTTACTGAATACATGGTGAACGGTTCACTTAGGCATGTCCTAGTTAAGGACAGGTAATTTTACCTCTTACTACTGTATAATTTCTTCAATCTCTTTTATGAATTTAATGGATTTTGGATTCTTATGCAGATCACTTGATTATCGCAAAAAGCTTATAATTGCCATGGATGCAGCTTTCGGGATGGAATACTTGCACTCAAAAAACATTGTCCATTTTGATTTAAAATGCGACAATTTGCTTGTTAATCTTAGGGATCCACAGCGACCAATATGCAAGGTGATACCTATATATCAATCTATTTAAACTTATTTCGTGAAGTAGCCAAGAGAAACATTTGATATTTTGATGTTTTTAGTGATTTTGAAGCCCGAACAAGGCTGAAAGGAGCTTTAAACACTTTGCAATATAAAATGAGATATTCCACAAAATACCTGTAGCAGCATTTGTTTAGGAGCGCAGCCAAACTTCCCTTTGAATCTGTTTCTGTAATTAGGCTGGAAACCTTAGGCTTGGGTTTGGTTGTTTTTCGTTTTGAGAGGAGAAGGTACAAGCTTTTGTTAAAAAGGTTTCTTTCTAGTTGTTGTCGTTAGAAGTTGTTGTTTGTTATCATCAAGCATACAATTAGTAATTTCTTCCAATGAAGTGCTATAGAAGTCACTTCACCAAATATTAGCGTATATTGATAATGCTTTTGAAAATGCTGTGACCTGTGGGAATAACATGACTAAATTGCATTCAAAGAAAAATCTGTCTTACCAACTCCTACTAATCATTAGAAATATATCTTTTTGTCCATACACATTCCAAATTTTTCCTGGCGGTCTTAATTTGAAGCATGTGTCTTAACACAGGAATCCTCTATTGACAAAAGTGAAAAGGCAAGGAGAAAGTGGCTTTTAGGTTAGCAGAGAATAGGCAGGAAAAATAATGGAAAGGCTTTAACCTTTTCCTTTTGAGAATATTAGATTAATTTATATATCCATGTAATTCTTTTAGAAAATAATGAGTAGATTTGGGAATTTATAAAAATTCTATCAGTTATCTTTTCTATTTTCAATTAAAACAGAACTATTATTTTGGGAAAGCAGCCATGTGGTTGCCTTTAAGTAGCCAATTTTAGTTGAAATTTTAGGAAAAAACCAGCATTAAGTAGCCAAAAGAAAGTAGACATCGGGAAAAAATAATTTTGATAGTGCAATCATTATTTGATGATGCACTATCGTGTTGCTGATCTTTTACCGGCAAATTCACCTGTGATTCCAGTTAAGTTCTCTGATGTTCTCGTCCTCAAGTATGGTTTTTGAAATATTCTTCTGCAGGTTGGAGATTTTGGATTATCAAGAATCAAACGCAATACTTTGGTTTCTGGTGGAGTGCGAGGAACCCTACCTTGGATGGCACCAGAACTGTTGAATGGTAGCAGTAGCCGGGTTTCCGAGAAGGTTAGATGAACCTACCTTAATATGTTTTCCTCATTTGAGGGGAAAAAAAGAGAGCTAGTTAGATTAAAACAATTGTCAATATCATATTTCATTTTGGTAGGTTGATGTTTTCTCCTTTGGAATTTCGCTGTGGGAAATCTTGACTGGAGAGGAACCTTATGAAGATATGCATTGTGGTGCAATAATTGGTAAGACTGTTGTCATAGTTTTGTTAGATGTTAACACTTAACACTGCTCTATATTTTTTTCTTCCCCTTTTATAAATTATATTAAGTCACTGAATTAAAGAGTATATTTTATAAAAATGTCCATGCAAATATGTTCTTGCAAATACAAGTATATATACTATTTTCTATTTATATGCATGTATAAATAAATAAAATATTTATATATATATACATGTGAACAACACTTGGATCTCAATACATACATATGTACCTGCAAATGTATATTTATATATACCTATATATAAGTCTATAACTTATATGTATAGTTACATATATATGTATATGAACACATACCAGTGAATATATAGAAAATGAAAACTGAAGAACATATTTTTTTATCAGAAAATGAGACCTTAATCTTTCTTAAATTTGCAAATGACCCATAACCAGATGATGGAAAACTGCTGTTTACTTATAAGTAGAGTTATATATATATATGTATATAAGCACATCTACCAGTGTATATATAGAAAATGAAAACTGTAAGACATATTCTTTTAACAGACAATGCAACCCGAATTTGTCTCTTCCAAAAATTTTCAAAGACCCATAACGAGATAAAGGAAAACTGCTGTTACCAGCTAATCTAGGATCTCTTTGTTTTTAGCTTAAGCAGTATAATTCTTTCTCCCATTCTTTTAGGATTCTTTTGGGGAGGAAGAGTAGCTGGATATGTTTTCATTTTTGGTTCAAAATTTAGGATCCTGATAAAGAAGGCTTACAGTTCATCATAATAAACTGCTAGAACCATTTCTCTCAGAAGAAAGAAAGGACCAGAAACATTTCTCTCAAAAAAATAAACTGCCAGAACCTTTTAGAAACTCAACTACATCGGAAACTTGGTAATTTGAAATATCATAGTTGTTTATTCTGTTTGTGAGAGCCTGTTATATGCAAACCAGTTGGCAAACTTTTGATCTGATATTTCCAAGGGTTCTAGGTGATAATTGTATTCTTAACTATCAAGAAATAGACAACAATTGAATTAGACATGGAATTTTGATTGGAATTAGAGTGTTATCCATTCAATTTTCCACTATATTTATATCATGTTCTTGTTTTTATTTCATAGAGTTACAGTTTGAACCATAATTCAATGTTAATGTAGAGTTTGTCAAGATTTGTATGTCCCTACGAGATTTCCTTTTGGAGATAAATTCACTTAAAATGATGCTTTTGGCCCTCTCTATTAAGTAACTAAGAGGCTTCGCTGATTTTTAGTTTGTTGTGAATATCTGCTAGCCTCGCTCTTGTGATCATTGATCTTCTCCTTCTAGCCTCGCTCTTGTGATCATTAATCTTCTCCTTCTTTCTGTTTGCGCATTTTCCTTGTTACTGTTGCTACTTCGACATGTCTGCAAACTTTTGTTTCTTTTATCTGAAATTATGTTGTCATGTGTGGTGATCTCTTAACTGAAGGGGGGATTGTGAAAAACACACTTCGACCTCCTATTCCAGAACGCTGTGATCCTGAGTGGAGAAAGCTGATGGAGCAGTGCTGGTCACCTGATCCCGAGTGTAGACCCTCATTTACAGAGATAACAAACCGACTGCGATCCATGTCTATGGCAGTTCAGGCAAGAGGGCACACAATTATCAGGCAAAACAGTTGAAGCCTAATATTTCCCCATGAAGTTACATCTCATGGATGTGACTTTCTTATTCTTCAAGTACCGGAATTTTGTCCAGAAGCCAGAAGGTTCAACTGGAAGCTGCCCTTGAGCCATAAGAGCAGAGCTTCAAGGGTAGGCTAACAGAGTTTGATGGTAATAGCTTTTCTTGTCTCTTCTCACTATTGTTGATAACCGTATATCTTCATACTTTTTTTGTAAACGTAATATATGGCAGAGTATAGGTGTAGGGGGTTGGGACTTGGCAAGCTGTATATCTCCCATTTGTTCATTCTTTTGTAAGAAAAACGCCTCCGGTGATATTAAGCCATGAAGAGAGATATACAGTTGTCTCGGTTGTGAAAACACATTTACTTGTAAATACTCCAGGAGACAAAATATATGTAGTGTGTGTAATTTGATTGATCAATTTGCCTATGTTATACTAGTCTTTTTTATTCTTCCTATTAACATTATAGTTGCTTGTTTTATTGGAGGCTGGGGTGGTAGAAAATGAAAGCTTCAAATAAGTTAAACATGTCAATCATTTACATACTTGGCTTTTAGTTAAGCGGTGTGTTTTCTTCAAATAAGAGGAAGAGACAGAGACAGAGCCTCATCCATCCGAGTTATATTGAATTTTGGTTTTTATTGATGATTTTATGTATTTGCATTTCCCAAAATGATTTTTTGAGGAATTCTGTAGGAAACTTGGTATAACAAAAACTACTTTTTTTTATAAATAAAAAAAAAAAAAAATTATTCTTTTTTTATAAATTAAAAATATCCTACAATGAAAGATGACATTCAATATAATCTTTCCTTAATGCATTTAATGTAATAAATTTGAGAGAGAGAGAGAGACAGGTGTTTGGTGGAAATCTATGGTAGCTGGTAACATGTGTGGTAGTTAGTAGATGGTTAGTTGTACATGTGGTTTTACGTATATGTGTATGTTAATATATATATATATATATGCATGAGTTATGTATACCTTCACTTTCATCCTACCAAATCGTTGCTGTGGTCACAAGGAGCTAAATCCAGAAGCTACTGGTGCAAAATATTAGAGTAAGTTCTACTTGTGTTTAAGTTGAATCCTTTTTATGGTTATTTTCTTCGGCGAAAATTAGTTTAAAGATGTATTAAATTCAAATAGTAGTATTTTAGCAATAATACTAAGCATGTACGGATAAATTATTGTTATTGTTAAATATTTATATAATTGGTTTAAAACAATATATATATATATATTATAGTCCAATTATAAGTACTGTAATAAAAAAAAAATATTTATTATAATTTAATCATATATCTCGATAAATTATATTTTTAATTTTATTAAATCAAATATTATATTTTAAAATAATAAATTTTATATGTTTAATAAAATATAAAATTATTAACTAACAGAACACAGGCATCATGGGAACTGAACTCACAACTTGAGATGAAAAATATGTCTAAAAAAAGTCATTGAGTCAACACCGAGTCAGTCTCCCAGCAATTTCATTTTTCATACTCCGACGCCAAGTCAATGTGCGGACTACACAAAAAAAAAACATATTTTCCATTTTCTAACGTTAGTGGTTGACTCAGACTACATAAATTCTTGTTTTCTTTTCGTTAAATACGAAGTTCATTTCCTTCCCAATTAATTTTCTTCTTCTTAGATTATTGAAAATACTCCTTTTAAATTTCAGTTCATATAATTACCTTAAAATATATGTGTATATAATAATAATAATTAATTAGATTCGGCTATCTGACCAGTAGGTTTACATAAACTAATTTTTCAAACAAATTAATTAACTAACAAAAAACCAAATTATAAATGTTAAAACAAAAAAAAAAAAAAAAACTCATAATTTGAATTTAAATAAAAGAAATATATATATAATTTAGCCGTAATTTTAAACTGTATGCCGGCCGTTACCCACTTAACACGTGGGTTAACGCGAAATGATACGCCGTGCCATTTCAACCCGAACCAAACAGAGAGTCATTTTCCGTCGTTGCTTACGAGTTCTGATCCGGTTCGGCAACTCAACTGACCTCCAGTCATTCTCGCCTGCCATTTCATACGTTTTATTTATATAATTATATTAATCTCTGGCACACCCAATCATCTTTTTTCCCTCAGCAAAGCACCCAGAAACTTTGATTTTAAAAAATCTAAGGGAGTCCGTTGTTTTTTGCATGAGCAAGAGAGACACAGAAATGGAGAAAGCACTTAACAGAAATAGAATTCTGCTTCATCACTTAAACCCCACCTCCTTTTCTTCTTCTTCTTCTTCTTCTCAAACCCACGATGAATCTGCTCCTATCTTTGTAAGTTATTTGCTTGCTGGGTTTTTCTTCGAATTCTTCTTTCCTTCTAGCTATTATGATCCCCCCCCCCCCGCTTTTGATTTTAAACATTTTGGAGTTTTAATGTGACTGAACGGAGGATATTACATTTACTTGGCTTTTGTTGACAAGTGGAGCAGTTTGGGATTCAAGTATCAAAATCATCTCCAGTAATTGTTCTCAACATTTCAATATTGTATATACTCTCTCGGATTAACAATGTTGTTAAGGTAGTAAAATAAATGGAAATAGTATTTATTACTTGAAAGGAGTTGCATCTCTTCTTTTACACAGACTGGATAATTGGTTTGAAGGTTTTCGTGCTCAATTTGTGATTTACGAGTGTTGTTTCTTCCAATATGATTTATAGACGTCTTCTCTAATGAGCTATATATCAGTGTTGTCATGTCCTAATTACTTTGGAAGTTGTTGCATGTTAAACCCTTATACTGCAATTTTATGATGTTCTCTGTTCAGGCTTCAAATTGTGCTGCTGGAGATAGTGCTGCATATCAACGGATGGCTGCTTTTGGAGATGATATTGTGATTGTCGCGTAAGTTACTTTCCCTGTGTAAAAATGTTGTTGACCTTCTTTTCTTTTTCTTTTTCTTTTTTTTTTAAAAAAAATTGATTAATCAAATAATTTTGCTGCAAAATCCAATCAAACAGTGCATGCCGCACTGCCATTTGCAAGGCCAGGCGTGGAGGTTTCAAGGATACCTTAGCTGATGACCTGCTTGCTGCTGTTCTCAAGGTTGGAAACTTAGACACTTGTAGTTTTGCTATAAATAGCAAAAAGTATAGATTTGAACACGGAGGCTAAAAGATGAGTAGTAACAATCTGGCTGTAAATAATTTTTGCTGTTGAAATTTGCACAAGAGGTTGTTTGAAGCTACTATTAGACCGCGTTTCTTTTTTTTTTTTTTTTTTTCCTTTCCCTTATGCAGGCACTGATAGACAAAACAGCATTGAACCCAAGTGAAGTTGGGGATATAGTGGTTGGTACAGTTTTGGCGCCGGGTTCAGAGAGAGCAATGGAGTGTAGGATGGCAGCATTCTATGCTGGTTTCCCTGGTACTCTTTTCATTACGTATCTTCTGCATGTACTGATTTGTGGTTCTTTTGGGCATTTAGATTCATGGAATTGGAAGATAAATGACTACAAGCTTTATAAATGAAATATCTAACTTTTATGTTGGGTTTGATTCAAATTCTAATTCCATGGAATAGGAACGAGAGTACAATTGATATACATTAGAAATTTGAGGGAAAACAATAATCTAATTTCAAGAAAATTCTATGTCCAATTAATTAACGTGTTTTTGTGATTCTTAGGAATCTAAAATCTGCAGTTATAGAATTGAAGATAGGAAGGAAGCTATTTTAATTATGTATTGAATTTCTAAATCATGATTCTCTTCTACATATCAAATAACTAGGATATAAGAACTGATCATTGAATGGAAATAAAAACATTTTGAACGAAACACGACATGAGATCATTTGGATATGCATTCTGGCCTCATGGGACATGAACATGCTTGGAGTCATAAACCAAACAATAAATAGATTTTTAGATGTGGAAAAAAAGAAATGATCATTTGCAGTAAATGTTGAAAGATTACTTGTTAAAGAGTTATTTCTTCTTATTTGAAATCAGATAAGGTGCCCGTTAGAACTGTCAATAGGCAGTGTTCATCTGGCCTACAGGCAGTTGCTGATGTCGCTGCTTCTATCAAAGCAGGATATTATGACATCGGTAAGAGTTTTGTGGAAATTTTATTTCTTTTGGGTGCTTTCATAAGATTCATCATCTATCTCATATTTAATTCCCTTCATCTTTGATCTTGACAAGTGGTTTTCTCAATGCAGGCATTGCAGCTGGAGTGGAGTCGATGACTGTGGATGGTACCGGTAGTGGCAAGTTTCGCCATATTAATCCAAAAGTACATTCAAATGCCTCTCTATACTAAGAAACCTATTTATATCCAAAACATTATCTTCAATTGTGTCTTTGATCTTAACAGACAGAGAGTTTTGCCCAAGCTCGAGATTGTCTTCTTCCTATGGGAATTACTTCTGAAATTGTTGCAGAGCGATATGGAGTGACAAGACAAGAACAAGATCAGGCTGCTGTAAGTTCATTGGGAATTTTAATGTGAATGATGTATGTTGATGCAGCATGTATTCTGATTTGGAAATGTGAAACATCAGGTTGAATCTCATAGGCGTGCATCTGCTGCAACAGCTTCCGGTAAATTCGAAGATGAAATTATCCCTGTTTCAACTAAGGTGAAACCTTTGGTGAATTCTTGTTCTTCAAAAAAAGTTTTCGCATATATATTTTATTACCAATTTTTGTTCTTCAAAAGATTTTAGACCCTCAAACTGGGGAAGAGAAATTAGTCTCCATTTCTGTTGACGATGGAATCCGACCAAACACAAACATGATAGATCTTGCAAAACTTAAACCCGCATTCAAAAATGATGGAAGCACCACAGCTGGTATTTAACAATCTCATACTTGTAAAATCTCTTATCACAATCTCACTGACATAATAAACCATAGTCTTGTACTGTGAAGTAAAATTTGTCTGCCAATGTATAAATATTAGGCAACGCTAGCCAGGTGAGCGATGGTGCTGGAGCAGTCCTCCTCATGAAAAGAAGTTTGGCAATGAAGAGAGGACTTCCAATTCTTGGTGTCTTCAGGTATAGAAAGGCAACCTATTGACCACTTGCTATAAAAAATGTAAAAAACTCAACAATACAAAAACAAGTTGCATTTGTTTGAGAATGGTCTTATTGGTTATAAAAGATGAAGTAAAACTCATGGTCATGAACTTCTTAATGCAAACCGGTACGTCTTGCAGGAGTTTCGCTGCTGTTGGTGTGGATCCTTCTGTTATGGGCATAGGTCCATCTGTTGCTATTCCAGCTGCAGTTAAGTCTGCTGGTCTTGAGCTTGATAACATTGACATCTTTGAGATTAACGAGGTGATTGCTTGTTTTATTGTTGTATAATTATATTGGTCATGGTCAGACATTTTAGAATTTTTTTTAACTTGGCAAACTACAATTGCAGGCGTTTGCTTCACAGTTTGTATATTGCTGTAAAAAACTGGAGCTTGATCCAGAAAAAGTCAATGTTAATGGAGGTGCTATCGCTCTTGGGCATCCTCTGGGTGCTACAGGTACTAAAACAATGTATTAAGAACTTGATACATGAATATTAATTGTTGTTGTCACTTTTAGCTAAAAACGAGATGGTATGTAAAAGGAGAAAAAAAATGATAAATTTGTTGGCTTTGTATATCAGGTGCTCGTTGTGTTGCAACTCTACTGCATGAGATGAAACGTCGTGGAAGGGATTGCCGTTTTGGAGTCATTTCAATGTGCATAGGTTTCTCTCTTTCCCTCCTTCTTTTCCTCTCTCTCAAATTGTGAACAGTTACATTTTTGTGTTAGAAGAGCTAAAAGTGCAAAAATTGAAGCTTGGCTGCATCACTCTTTAGGCTTTAAACTAAGTCCTGATTGACAAATGTGAGGAGAAAGTAAAGAAATGAGGGAAGAAAACCATTTTTTTTTTTTTTCCTTTTATAGCTAAAAAGTTAAAGATTAGTAAACAAAATATTGTTCTCTTATTTTGTTAAAGAAATTTTCAGTTATCTACAAAAAATTGCGGGTCTTTAATTGAGGTTGCCACAACAGGCCTAACCTTTGCCAGAAAAGAGAAAGACATGTTTCTTTTTTATTCATTTCCTAATGGTTGGTTTATATCCAGGCTTTTTTGGTGAGTTGAACATCCACATGCTTGACAAGTTTGGACACCAGTTAGATAGGATTTAGGACACCCTTTACCTCTCACCTCCTAATGATTATAGGAGTTACAATCAGGAAGACTGGAACTTAGAGGATTGGAATTTGCGACAGAATAGTTCTTTTACTAATTTGTAGATGAAGTTCTGTTTTTGAGCAGCCATGACAGATGGGTTGGTTTGGCTGCCGCTCACATCTGTTTCCTTCATATGACAGAAATAAATTTATGGTCAAGGTGGGGAATAATTATCTGTGGCCAATATAATTATATAGTGCAATAATCATTAAATGTATCCGAATTATATAATAAATTGGCCATAATCAATTATTTCACACAAATTTCTTTTTTTTTTTTTTTTAAATTTAAAATTTTACTTAATTACCCCTATTTATAATCACTTAAAATTAAGAATATATATTAATATAAAATATAACAATAACTGCTTATATTGCAATCAACATTTTATCTAAATGTGTGACTGTTTATTTTTCAAATAAAAATTTATCTGCTTAAAGTAATTTAAGACAGTTTCTGATGTATACTCATTTATTTAAGCAATCTCAAACTAGTATTCTTTTAATAGTTAGATCTTATTATATTACTGAATTAAGTGACTGGATATCATTCCTAGTCGCCATAGATTCGTCCCATAAATTCGGAGAACTCTGCAAGAATCTTGCCGATGTTTTATGGACAAGAGATTTACAGTAAACAAGAATTTGGAAGCAAGATGAGTCAAGATACTCCTTATTTTCCACCAGAAAGAAGGAAAGATTATTAACACTTGAGAAGATATTAAAGATGATATACATTCATATGAACAAACCATAAACATTGCCTAGTCTGGGGGAGCTTGCTGTATGATCGTCATTTTATCTTTGAACTTATACAAAGTAACAATTTACACTTGATTTCTATAGGTTCGGGAATGGGTGCCGCCGCTGTTCTTGAAAGAGGCGACTGCACTGATGAATTAAGTAATGCTCGACCCGTCAACCATTAATAGTCTCTTCTCTTGTCATGGATGCTCAGGAGATAAAAATTTCTTTTGTATTTGGTCGCTGGCAGTCTTGGCTGAAGGAGGCTATGGTTTCTACTTTTAAATAATCATCCCCTGTGAGATGACTTAAGAACCTAGTCTCAGGTTCATGTCAGATATTGTAATAAGGACTTATTCTGAAATACTGATGTTTCAGGTTACCTGCGCAAGTATTAATACTGGCCCCTTAATCTCTTTTTCACATCAACGAAAAAACTCTTTTCCTATTTGTTGCCAGTATCATCTGAGGAATGCAAGTTTAGACAATATGCATTATCATGTCATGTTATCATGCCACCTCTGTGAATTATATTTTTGCCTCTTCAAATTAACTATAAAGAGAAACGAACAGATACATATGATCTAGTTTGTAACAATTGATTATCTTGGATCTATTTGTTAAAAGGGATAATCACCACTGAAGTTTTTCTTGCCTTATTTAATGGTTATTATGGAGTCTCCGGGTTGTGTTTGGGATCTAATCAAGAGATCGTGCAAGCCGAAGTGATGCAAGACAGAAATAAGTTATTAAAATGGAATATTTCGGCATTAGAGAGCATTTTGATAAATAATTATGTTATCTTTGTATATTCTTTAAGTTATATAGACATTAGAACATATATAGGTTGTGCCCGGAAATAACCTAGATTTGTGAATTATCTTTTTGGTTCATTTTCTCGAAGATGAAGTTTCATGAATAGTAGAATGATCTGAAATCTTGTTTTGTCATCCATTAGTTTCTATGGTCTGAATGACACAAAGCATAGGACAATTACAAGTTGTTCTCACTTCTAGTTGGAAAAAAGATTATAAAAATACAATTGGTAATAATTGGATATTAAAGCAGACATTCGAATTAGAATAAAATAGGAAAATAAGTAGAAACGTTCGCTGCTGCCTTGGGCTCTGTGTGCAACCATGAGCCCCATGATTTTATACCGACAAGGTGAACCTGCTGCCTTCTTGCTTCTCCTCTTCCTTCAGGTCAAGCAAGAATCGCAAATGGATATTGGACTCAATTACACATCAGCTTGACCTTGTTGGTTTGTCTGAAAGGCCTGCAGGGGGTGGGTGTGCACTTCTTTTGTCCATGGTTTGTGGTAACAAAAGTAGAGTACAGGAGAGAAAATAAGAGGGCGAGCTAGATTAGCAAACAAGCAAGCAGTCATGTATGTTCCAAATTTTCAGATCTATATGTATAATGGAACAGCAATATACAACGTTGAACTATGTAAAGGTCCACAGGAGGATTGCTTTTAGATTAGACATCTTTGTATAGCAACTGATATTTTGGTATCCTCTCTGGGGGTAGAGGACAATTCACAATTAACTTGCCTTTCATTGCCCCTCTAAATATTGCCTGCATCCAAATGAAAAGTTCACTCAAGTTTGTGCTGTGCAATAAGAAAAGTGAGATTCAGCAACGCATCATAGTTCAAATACCTTCACTATTAGTTTCCTTGAAAATTATTAAGTTACCATCTTTCTCTTTTGAAATAAAAAGTATACCAAGTATAAGTTAGTTACCATCTAAAGTTAGTAATATTCTTTCTCAAAGTCACAGCTACCACATTGCAGCTAACCCAACTCTCTACTAATTATGCAGCTAATCCCTAACATTTAAATTAAAGAAGTTTAATATTCCCTCTCAAAGAATTTGAACTTGAAGTATGGTAACTTAAACTACAACAAGTTGCATAGTATTTATGAGTATAAAGACATAAAGAAATTAGAACTAGGTATTACTAGGAATTTTAAATAAGAAATGAACCAAACAGGTCATAAGAATATTTAGTGAATAAAATTGACAAGAGCTTTTTAAGGAATTTAGAATGATTCAAGTCCTTGTTCTTGTCCTCACCTTACCTATACTTATATAAGGGTGTAAATGTTGATTACATATCAGGTCTGGTCCTGCCAAAATAGTGAGGGCGTTCTATTTCTCAAGTTAAGATTATATTAATATATTGACATCGATGCTGCTGCTTAAGTCTCTATACTTGAATTTAGTTATCTTTTTGATTTGCGCATATTTTATGAATTCTTGCTTGTATCATTCAGTTGGGTTCAAAGGGTCTCTAATGCCATCGGATTTAAGTGATAGTTATCATGTTTGTAAACTTGTGAGAGAGCATATTGTCCATGGGACACCCTGCAATATTAACTGTCAGATTACATGAAAGCTAGAACCTATCACCTACAGCATATGTCACTAATGACGCTATCAAGAACCACCCACTTAATACAGCATCGACAGTGCTATCTATCTACTGCTGTCTAAAGTCTTCTCCGCTCACCAGAGAGTTTATTCCTGTTATTTTGGAAGAATACCCATGATAACCTCTATGTCAGTAGAAGAACAAGCAAAAGGAAGGACTCGATCACTCTAGAAGCTCTATAAAAAGCCTCGTATCAGTTTTACTCTATAAGATCTTATGACTTAAGCATGAGTATCTCTCCTGAGGAAAACTGATAATCACGGTTTTTTAATGGTTAAAGGTTATATAACTGTCACAAGACTTACCCACCATCTCATCTTTTCCCAGTTCCAACATCATTATAAAGATTAGATTCTTCATCATGATTAATCTAGTATAACGAATTCCACCATGAATTATACCTTTGCTTATTATATACACGCATATTTTGCAGCAATTGAATTTGAAATTCAATGAGCGAATGATCAGTTTTCAGCTTATTGCAAGAGATCTAACCAAATCAATCACCATCAAATAAGGTAACAATAATACTCAAAATCTGGAAGTAAGTTACCTCAACAACATCAATGAAATCCTGCTTTCTATGAAATGCACCCACCCACTTAGTGTGATCAGCAGTCCTGCATCACAGAGCATAAATAATGCTAACATATGAAACACTACCCAGTAAAATTTTTCAGTTTAATATACATCCTAACAGAAATAGAAAGCAAGAATCAGAGAAGTCAATCCAAAGTTAGTAACAAATATCAATGAAAAACTGGATGAACACCCAGATGATTTTTTCTTTATGAGAGAGAATGATACATGGGAAATATGACTACTAGGTAGTTGTGTTAGTCACAAGCCAAGCAAATTAGCTATAGAAGGGGTATAACAATACTGTAAAGAAATTATGTAAAATAAATGAACTAATACTTTCTTCCAGTTATCTCCCTGTGCTTTTCTCTC